TTAACACCTTCCTCGTGTTCTGTTTGAAAAAGTAAATAAATTTAAGAAAACCATTTTAAAATTATGTACAGTTGCAGCCTGGAGAACTTAAGGTGGTGCCTTGTAGTATCAATTTTAGAAGCTTTATTTGGTGCATATAATGCAACTGGTAACTGCAAAATCCACTTTGCCCGTGTTAAGTGAAAAATAATAGACTGTTACCTTGTTGGTCCTATGAAATTCTGCACTTGGTATTTAGTATATACTCTACCTTCATTACTCTGGCAAGGTGTCCTGCCTTAGCAGTCAGTTCCATTCTTTATCTTTTCTTTCTAGTTCATTATGCTTTAATTCTGAGGACCATATGAGGGTAGACTATATTAATAGAAAATTTGTATAGACAAACCATTTCCTTAAGTTGATGGCCGAATGTTAAAGTGTTATTTTTCATATCATTTATAATCTTGTCACAGCCCACTTAATGAAAGTTTTGTTAGATTTCAATAAAAATTATCTTCCAGAGTAGTTTTTCTTTCCTGGGATGGGGTGGGGAGGGTAAAATTACTACAATTAGTATGTATGGTGCAGAATTTCATGCAAATGAGGTGTGCCAGGAGTGTGATAATTTAAACGTATTTAAATAAAGATGAATGCACAAATTTGCTGCTGCTTAGATCACTGCAGCTTCTAGGACCCAGTTCCTTTTACTGATTTAAAATAAAACAAAACAAAACAAAATAAAAAAGTTGTGCCTGAAATGAATCTTGTTTTTTTTTTTTTTTAAAGTAACCACCTGGTTCCTGTGTCCTGTAAAATACAGGCACTTGACCCTCTTCTATTCCACTTTATATCACGGAAACGGATTGGTCTGATTTCTTGGCCGTCATCTTTAATTGGCCACATACAGCATCCCTGGCCAGTGGACTGAAGGCTTTGTCTAAGATGACAAGGGTCAGCTCAGGGGATGTGGGGGAGGGCACTTTTATCTTCCCCGTTGTCGTCTGAGGTTTTGATCTTCTCTGGGTAAAGAGGCCATTTATCTTTGTAAACACAAAACATTTTTGATTTCTCCATTTTTCTGTTATTGGTAAAAGAATGGAACAAATAAAGTTTTACTGATTTTTGAGACCCCCCCTACAAAAAAAGGAATGATATAGAACGTGAGCAGAATGTGACCTGGTGCTCAGCAAAGAAAACTCTGAATCTCCTCGCACATGAAATGAAGAGCAGGCCTGGTGGGACTGCTGGGGACTCTTTTGGTGCCCTCCCCCCATGGGAATTCATCTGCTAGAAAATGTAGTGTTAGCTATCACAGGGTGTTAGTTAAGCTTGCCAATGCATTCCAATATTTCAGGCCCACCTTTTTGCGTGAGCTGACGCAGAGCATTAGAAATGTTGCCAATGCATTCCAGTATATTAGGTGTACCGGTTGTGCTAGGCACACAAGAGAGCTGAGAACGGTAAGCACTGTGGGAAGGCAGAACCAGGGAACTGGGGAAGGGCACTCAGGTTCATGCAGTGGAACTGTGGTGTTTTAGTTCTTTTGGTGAGTGGAGTTCGGTTTCTCTCTTTGGTCCCCGTCCCTTGCCCCACATGGAGGCAAAGAGGACATCTGTGACTATTTTTAATTTAAAGGAAAAACTTAAAAGCTTCATGCAAATTAACAAAGGTCTCCCAATAAAAACACTTCTTCCATTATAATGTTTCAGTTTTGTTATTAAAATTTCTCATGTAGGCTCTTAAGGCTCAGAAGTGATCATTTTAAGCCTTCAATATCATATGTGAGTCAAAGTTTACCTTCTGCCCTAACTTAGTGTTTTGGCTCCAGTGGTTTAGTGGGATGGTTGATGGGGGATGGGCCTCCTCCCTTCTTTCTCCTCTAGTTGTGCTTTGGGTTTGAAGGCAATAGCTGAAGTGTGGCTGTCAGTGAAGAGGTGACAGTTCTTTTTGCTCACTAGGTGTGTTATGCCCTCTGTATATAACCCAGTGTCAGGGTGTGGTCCACTTTCTATAGATTAAATCTTCAATCTATATGGGTACATGGAAGTTTCTATCAGCCCCTGTAAGAGCCACTTGATTCTGAGCAGTTCTCTTGGGCACTGGTAGCCTCTTTTGTAATCCAGGCTCATCTTCCTACTGATGCTGGACTGCCATCACTTTGCTGAACTGCTTTGCTATGCATGGCTCTTCATACTGCAATAATTCTTGGGGAAATTAAGGAAAATATTTCTCAAGCATGATAAAAAAGCATGAATCATAAAATTTCAAACATGTTAGATCACATTAAAATTAAGGTCTTTTGTTCATCAAAGATGAACATCTTTGTTCGTTAAAGAAAGTAAAAGGAGAAGCCAAAATACTGGAGGAAGATACTTGAAACACACAACTAAAAAGAGAGAAAACATGGAGAATAGATAATGACCTGAAGAATCAAATAGAAAAAGGCAAGCAACCCAGTAGAAGAACAGGCAAAAGAAATTAACTGGCTTAAAAAGAGAAAACTAAATAGCCAAAGAATACATGAATAGGTATTTGACCCATTGGTATCAGATATCAAAACCAAATCATTGAGACAGCTGGTATTCCTTCTGCCAAAATGGCAATAATTTCATAGTCAGAAAATATGAGGTTGGAGAGAGGCTGTGGTAAAACCAGCAGACAGTGTTTTCAACAGTGTTGGGTCAAAATTCTGCAAGGTCAAAAAAGATAAGTGTGAAAACAGAACCACTTGAGCCTGCAAAAATGGGGACATTGGTAACATTGGTGACAGCAGTATTACCATGGAATAGGGTGTCAAGATTTGGAAGAAAGCTGGGGTGACAGTGGTGGTTGTTCATGTGGTAGAAACACTGCCTTCTGAATTAAATCACCTGCTTTTTCTACAGGTGTCTCTGTCTGCAAGAAGCCTGGGACTGGCCTTCTGTATAGGAGATCATTCTGTGTGCCACGGGCCCAGCACCATCTTGGAGATGTACAGGACTCATGCCCGTGGATAGGTTCTCCGGTGGGGAACCAGGTCTGCACTGTACCTAGACTGCTATGAGATTTGCTTTTTCTAAAACTTCCTCACCCTGAATTGAGGCAGAAAATATTTACTGCAAACTAACTTCCTAAAATCCATGCTAAACCTTCAGAGGACAGTGTAACTGGTTCAACCACTTATGCCTTTTAATTTGCAAATATCCCTCTTCTGTTATGTGATTAGCATCATCCTCTCCTTTGTTTTCTGTAAAAGGTAACCACCTAAAGTGGAATTGTGCACAGTTAATGAGGACCTTCATTTTATGTGCCCAGAAGGACAATAAAAGCTCATCAAAGCAAGGGCTGAGGCTTTTGGCTTCTCTTGAGAGTGAAGCTTCCCGCCCCTTTTCTCCACAGAATTCGGTAGTCCAAGCATACAATTTATTGCTCATAGGTGGCAGTGATCTGTCACCCCAGTTGGTGAAGAAGCCCTCTGGGATGATGGACTTGACACACAGAGTAAATAATGTGGGTAGTAGGATAGGAAAGAGAGTCTGTTACAACAAGCCACCTGGTGATTTCAGCAGTGCAGGTGGTAGGTGTCACCTCTCTGGAGAAGTATAAAGTGTGTTTCAAGTTGCTTCCTCTGAGGCCATCCACACTGTAGGAGGTGGGAGGAATCTGGGGCCTGTGTGTTAACTCACAGGTCAGACAAGTCAGGAAGGAAGCTCTGAGAACTGAGTGGTGGATCAAGTTGGAGGATGGAGATCTACAGACTGAGGAGGTATGGAGTCAGGTGGGGCAGTGAGAGGCAATACTGAAGAAGAAAGTGGAGAGAGGGTCAGGCACACTCTGAGCACCTCACTCTCTGAGAATGGTCCAAACAATCCAGCCTCTTTGGGGAGTCCAGTAAACAATCATTTCAGCTCACAAAACACATAGGTGGAGGGCTTGTCTGAAAGCAGAATATTACATGCTCCATCCTCCATCTTTGTTGCCCATGACTTCCTAAGCCCCACTCAGTTCTAGAAAACTCACTGGATCCCCTTTTCTCCACAACCTCTCCAACACTTGTTTGTCGCTTTGTTTATGATGGCCATTCTGACCAGTGTAAAGTGGTATCTCATTGTGGTTTTAATTTGCACATTTTCATGTGTCTCTGGATCTTCTGTATGTCCTCCTTGGAGAAATGTCTGTTCAAGTCTTTTGCCCATCAGTTCTAGGAAACTCATTGGAGGCGTTGGAACCTCAGCCATTTTGGAGCAGCTGATGGGAAGCCACAGGTTCCTGGTCAGAGAAAGTGCTTGTGCAGAAGTACATGGAATTCAGTCACATGCCATTTAGAGGAAACTTCTTAGGTAAAGTCAACAACTAAAAATAGATAAAGGGTAAAATCATGTTCTGTATGTAGCACCAACCACCAGCAAAGAAGTTATTGTCAGGCTTCTGCCATAAGAGAAAATTTGATGGCACCTGGACTTTAGAGGTTACTGCCATAATCTGTTGTCATGTAATCATTTGGATGCCAATTGGTCATCATGGATAACAATATTTAAGTTGATGTCTGCAAATCTGGAAATTATAGACAGTCATTTCTCTTTGAATTTGTGCTTATCCTTCCATGTATAATGATATAGTAGTATCACAATTTTGGAAGATATATTAGGACAATATCCTTGAGCACTATTGCGTCATGGTAATCATGTATAAAGAGTGATCATGATAGTGGATGACCCACTATCTCCAAGATCTTTCCAACACTGCAGTTTCTTATTGCAGGAAACCCAACAACAACAACAAACAAAATAAATCCCCTACTCTGTCCTTAAATGCTCCAACAAATGTTGATTCCTCTTCCAAACATGTCTTCTGCTTTCCCCATCACTGCCAGAATAAATCATTTGCCTCTTCCTCTGTACACAACCCTACCTTCTGCCTCATGTTAGAGAAAGTTGCTTGCATGCTGTTCTCCCTTGTGAGGCAAAAGTTGCTCGAAATCAAGGACTAGGTGTGTTCACCCTTGTTCATCATTCCCCTGCCATGAAAGAGACTTAAACATATCAAGTCTTGGTGCATATTTATTCAATGAGTGAATGATTGAAAGAACAAAGCTTGGGCTGTTTAGACATTTATTCCTCTAACTCCTAAGCCCACACAGGTAAGCACATGAAATACATGCACGTGATGTCCACACACATGGCTGCCCTAGGGAGGACCCTTTTGCTAAAATCCACTTGCAATTCCTGTCTCCTGTTTAATAGAGGTGCAGACAATTTACCAGGCTGAAGTGAATGGAGTCTAGGGTGCATGCAGTTGGACAGACATGTTGCTTAGTTTGTAAGAGAAAGAAAAAGCTAAGTGTTAATAGCGCAAAAAAGGGAAGATGCTTCCAGAGCCTTTGGCTTATTTGGAGTGCTGCATCTCACTGGAATATGATGGTGGCGAGTTCACTGGTTCTGGGTTGGGCACTTGGTTTGACACGTAGACAGTTTGGTAGACCACGGTGTCCTGGAAAACACAGGCACGGGAGGTGCTCTGGTGAGAACTAGGCATGCAAGGATGCGCTTACACACCACCGCACTCCAATGTTCCTGGGCAGGAAGGGGAAGCCTGAAGATCCCTCTGGTCTCCACCCTCTTTGGGGCAACTTCCCACCCACTGAGGATCTTGGGACTCACATAGGAGACCAGTTGGCAGCCAAAGTGGGCACACGTGGAGGCAATGAAGAGCTCCAGGAGGCTGAAGACGAGCAGCATGCCAGAAGTAGTTTTGCCAGGGATCTGGAACCAGAACAAACCAGGAGGTTATTAGTGTTGCCCTGGGAGTCCGAGGTCTGCCTCAAAGAATGTCTCTGCAATGGATGATGGCTATGGCTTTGAAAAAGTCCTATAATCTTGTCTCATGTCATTGATAAAATATCTCACCAGGTTTGGGTGAGGGTCGAACACTACTGGTGTTTGTCACAAAAAAGTAGTCATTTGTTTTAGGGCAACACCTTGATATCTTATTTCAGGCATAGGGGATGAGACCTAAGGTGTTGTCTGGAGGAGTGAGAAAGATAAAATGTTTTTTGTAGGAAGTGAATAGAAATTTGGGACTATTAACAAGCAGCAGAAAGGGAAGTTAGAGGGTTAGAGGAGAAAGACAGGGCCAAGCAACAGTATGGGAGGTGGAGCCTGCAGGCAAAGGGATGTGGTATGTGAGGGACGTTTGATCTTCAGTCTTCGGTAGTTGTCTGGGCTCTGATGTAAACCTCCACCATTCCTCTGAACCTTTAGAGAGAATAAGCCAGTGAAACAACCTTCCTGGCTTCTGAAAGTGGCATTTTGTGGAGTGAAATAATTCAGGCTGTCTTGAAGTTAGGGAAAAAAAGTCAGTTCAAAGACCCCCAAGCTGAGCTAGTTCAGCAGTAGTAGATTTCACTTGAGGACCAGGCAACATCTAAGCCCTTCCCTACTCTTCTCCAAAAATACCCAGGAGAATGGGGTCTGTTTCTGTATGTGGGGAGAGAGTTAGGGTTGAATCCACTTTATTCCTTAAAGGACAAGGATGAATAATCCCCCAAATCATTAAGATTCCAATTATAGGAGAGAATAAATTTGAAATTGAACATGTCTGACACATGGTAAGTACCAAACAAGTGTTTGTTGATTATGATTTTTAAGATGGTGTGCATGACAGCTAGCTGCTGAGAGAATCCTCTCTTTTGGAGAGAACTTCCTGAGCAATGTCCTTCTCTTACCCCTAAATTTAGCAAGTATTTATTAAACATGTTTCTTAGAGTGTCTAAGAAGGCATTTTAAGAGACACCATCTGATAAGGGAGTCAGATGCAGTTGTAAATAATTATAATTCACCCCAGACATGATAAGAGCTACAAAAGAGTCAACAGATTGCCTGGGGCACTGAGGAGACAGAGATCCCTGCTGAGGACAGGATTTAGAGACAGGGATGTAGGACGGGGTGCCCAGGCAAAGGGAAACACAAGGTGATGATGTCTTAGGCAAGGAATCACAGAAGCTTAGGGAGGAGGATCCTTTACAAATGATGCTGGACATTTTCAAGTGTGTTTTTAACAGTAAAATTTTTTTAAATTAATTTTCTTTAGTTATTTTTCAAGTACAGTTTTTTGTCTATTTTTCCCATCCCAGCCTCCCCCGCCCCTTGCTCCCCACCTCCCTCCCATTTCCACCCCCCTTAGTTCTCGTCCCTGTGTCCTTCCTATTTGTTCCTCCAAATCCTTCCCCTTTTTCCCCCTTAACTTCCCTTCCTTCTCCCCTCTGGTCACTGTCCCCTTGGTCTCTATTTCAGTGTCTTTGTTTTTTTATTTCTGCTTGCTTGTTTGTTTTGTTGTTTAGCTTCCTGTTAAAGGTGAGATCATATGGTATTTGTCTTTCAGTGCCTGGCCTATTTCACTCAGCATAATGCTTTCCAGTTCCATCCATGTTGTTGCAAAAGGTAGTAGCTCCTTCTTTCTCTCTGCAGCATAGAATTCCATTGTGTATATGTATCACAATTTTTGGATCCATTCATTTACTGATGGGCACCTAGGTTGCTTCCAACTCTTGGCTATTGTAAATTGTGCTGCTATGAACATTGTGGTGCATGGGTTCTTTGATATTGATATTTTAGGATTCTTAGGATATAATCCCAGCAGTGGAATTGCTGGGTCAAAAGGCAGGTCGATTTTTATTTTTCTGAGAAAATTCCATACTGTTTTCCATAATGGTTGTACCAGTCTGCAATCCCACCAACAGTGAACTAAGGACCCCTTTTCCCCACAACCTCTCCAACATTTGTTGTTTGTTGCTTTGTTTATGATAGCCATCCTGACTGGTGTAAAGTGGTATCTCATTGTGGTTTTAATTTGCATCTCTCTGATAGCTAACGATATTGAGCATCTCTTCATGTGTCTCTGGATGTTCTGTATGTCCTCCTTGGAGAAGTGTCTATTCAAGTCCTTTTCCCATTTTTTAATTGGGTTGGGTGTCTTCTTAGAGTGGAGTCATGTAAGTTCTTTGTATAGTAAAATTTTTTTATAAATAAAACTTTCTAATGAGAGAAGGGTTGGGGGGATGCGTGAAAATAATGAAGGAATTAAAAAGTACAAATTGAGAGTTTTAAAGATAGAGGCAAGTAAATTAAAGTACAGCATAGGGAATATAGTCAATCATATTGTAATAACTATGTGTGATATCATATAGGTATTGGAATAATTGGGGTGATTACCTCATAAGGTATATAAATGTCTAATTAGTATGTTATACATTTGAAACTAATATAATTTTGTATATCAACCATAATTAAAAAATAAAAAAGAAATGTTTCACAAGGCAGAGGGGGCTCCTCAAGCAGCTCAGAAGATAGTTATCTGGTGAGTATTCATTCATGCTTGTTGAGCCCTGGGAGCTCCCCATCTCTTGGATCATCATTTGCAAAGCTGTGATGAAGTCTAGTTGTCCTTGTTCAGATGTTGGACTGAGGCCAGAGGTGGAGGGTGGCTGGGATAAGGTAGTTGTGTTTCCAACATCATTAGCAGAACTAAGATTAGAAGCCAGATGGTGGCAGCTCCAGCTGGACTCTGGATGCATTGTAATGGTGAAAGCCACAGGATTGCCTGAGGCATTGGCTGGCAGGTGCAGAAGAAATATAGAGGGGTGATGATTTCACTGAGTTTTTGTCCTGAGTGATTGGAAGGATGCAGTTGCCATCGATGGAAAAAAGAAAACTTGAGAGAATTTTAGGATGAAAAATCTGGAGATCAGAATTGGGTATGTTAATTTCAAGATGGTGAGGGGACAACTGGATTCAAGAGACTGAAGTCTGGGAGACAGGTGTGGGGAGTCATTGTCATAGAGAAAGTGTTTCAAATCACTGGACAGGAGGAGGTTGCCAAAACAGTGATTAGAGAGAGAAACAGAAGAACGAGGACAAAGCCAGAGAAAATAATGAAAAGAAAAGTAACACTAAGGGAGAGAGAGAAGAGAACAATCATTATGACTGCAGGAACACCAGCTGCAGGGCCCAGAAACCACTGGGAGGTCTCCAAATGAAATTGGGGGCCTTGAGCAGAGGAGGCTTTTGAAGAAGTGAGGCCGAAAGTGTGGTTAGAGTCTGTTTAAGAGAGGTTTTGAGAGGAGAGAGTAAGGCAGACAATTCTTTCTTTTCTGCTGACTTGGCCACAGACCCAGGGTGGTAGCTGCGGGAACTGAAAGGTCATGCGTTTGTTTTTGAAGATGAAGGAAAGAGAAGGGTGTGTAGATGCTGAAGAAAAGCTCTAGCAAATGTGGGAAATGGATGTAGAAGGGGGGAGACAAGGGAGAGGGGAGAAGCACTAGCAGTGATAGTCTTGAGTGGGCAGGGAGGACAGGGCTGTAGTGCAGGGAGAGTCACTGAATTTCATAGGACTCATCGGTAGCCACACTTTCTAATCCAGTAGCCACGAGTCCCCTGAGGACTTGAGATGTGATGTAAATGCAAAACACACACTAGGTTTCAAAGACGTGGTCCCCAAAATGCAATATATTGAATTAATATTTTTTACATGGATCACATATAGAAGTGAGATGTTTGGATCCACTGGGTTAAATAAATGTTATTAAAACTAACACTTGCTCCTATTTTCATTTTATAGTTGAGAGCTTGATCACTTAACATCACAATCATGGCTTATGTAATATTTCTGTTGGATGGTACTGGCCTAGAACCTGAGACGACTCACTCATTTATGCATTTTGTACATCTGCTTTCACACAGGCTCGAGTAGTTACTACAGAGACCAGATGGCCAGCAATGCCTTAAATATTCACCCTCTGACCCTGTACAAAAGACCTTTGTTGACACCTTTGTCTGTAGTAATGAGAGAGAAGGACCCTGTGAATAGAGGTTCAGGTTGGAGAGTACCTGTGTGTTATATGTAGAACTGCATTTAATTCTTTCTACAGTGTTAAAAAGTAGGTACTGATTAAAAATGTAGAAACTAAGACTAAGAAAAGTCACATGCTTAGAGTAACACAGGAATAAATCTCCAGGTCAGAGACTTTAAACTCTTTTGTGATTCTGGCAGCACCTCTGTTTGCTGTAGTGCCTGGTGAAGAAGCTTGGTGGTCAGTGCCTTTCCAGAGATTTTCTAAACACAGTTGAGCTGGACCCAGGACAGTGCTGGTCAAGAGGGATACTCACCATTCTCCTGTCGGAGTCAATAAATCTGGAGTTGACACACATATCTACGATGTAGGCACAGATTCCCAACACAGAAAAGATCGCACTGAGGATGTTCATGCCCACGCCGCCCTTCAGCTGAAGAAGGCACAGAGGGTCAGGGTGAGAGAGGAAAACTATTATAGCAGAGATGAGCAGAGTCTCAATAAATGTTTCTTAATGTGAATTTTGGGAACCCTAGACCTGCAGCAAGTAAGGAAGTGTTCTCTGCAAAAAAGTTTGTGGGTAAATGAACACTGAAAAAACCTGAATCAGAGTTAAACAGGTCTGATATGCAAAGACCTGTCTCAGATCCTTTAAGGAAAATGATTTAAGCTTCCAGAGAGGGGACTATTAAATAGTGACTTTTCCCACTGAATTTGCCTAATCATCTTCATAAAGGTTCTGGTGGGACAAGTACCCCAGGATAATTTTTGGGACATACTTAACCCACTTATCCCCTGGGAGATAGGCAGGAGATTCAGCCCCAGTGTCTTGGGATGTGACAGGCTCTGATGCTCCCCAAAGTGGGCCAAGGGTAGAAATGCAAGGCCAAAATTGAGCTTCCCTTTGGAGATTTTCACATATATCTTATGTGGTATGGCACCTGTCCTCTCAGGGGTCCCTTGCCCTAGATAACCTGCTGTGGAAGAAAGAAAGGGACTTTCTTGAACCTTCGTTAGGGGACCACAGAGCCTTGTTCATTTGATTCATAGATCCTGATTGGTTAGATTCCTAGGGAAGCTGCTGCCTGAGCATCCCCTGGCTTCCCTGTAGAAGTGTCTGGAGGTTGGCTCTGTGCACTGCAGACAGTCTCAGTGCCCTGCTCTGCTGGAGGGGAGTCCTGTGCCCCAGGAAGCTCTTTGTCTCTTCCTGTAAGATCCTCTGATTTTCTCTTTCCACACCCTGTTGCCCTAACAAAGGTGGCTGTATTTCTCTTCCTTCCCCTGAATATTCTGGACTCTTTCCCACTTGTGAGTTGGCCAGGTTGGTGTGGTCCTGCATGTGAGTATGAGTGAACATGCATGTCAGTTCCTGTGTCTGCTTATAAGTAGGTACAGGGATGGAGGAGGGATTGTGTGTTAGCTTCTTTCCTTTGTAGTGTGTCCCTGATATAGGTCCACAGCTGGAAGAGCCCATATCAGGATGTGACTTACCACGCAAGGAGAATTTGGCTGCTTTTCTGATGCCACTGACAGGGATCCTGAAATGATGAACTGGCAAAGAAGAGAGAGTTTAGAGAGAGGTCAATGGTCTGGTCTCCCCCTTCAGGCTCAAGGGATTATGTTCACACACATAATTCTCTCACACATGCTAGGTTTCTGTGCTGGGTCCTCCAGCTCAACATGGGGAAAAATGAATGAATAAGTGAGTGAGCAAACTGTTTTACACCAGACAACAGGGAATTGAATTGGGATAAATATAGATTCTAGGATAGAACCAGTTTTAAATTCCAGGACCCAGTTTTAAATTCTAGTGTGAAACTCATGTGATCTTGGGCAAGTTACTAATTTCTCTAAGTGTATATTTTCTCATGTACAAAATGAGAGAAACTGCACGTCTTCCTCCTAAGTGTCATTGTCATAGATAATTAGTCTCTTGAGTTTGATACCTGTTATATCTTGCCCTTGGTAGGTCTTTTACACAGTAGACACTCAGAAAGTTTCTTCTTTCCTTATCTTTTATTTCTCCTCATGCACAACTCTTGGACTTCCTCAAAATTCAGTCAGGTCTGGGGGCTCTTGCTGGGAGAGGGAAGGGTTTCCCCAACATCTGTCATTGCCTGTCTATAATTTGATGAGTCACTTTTAGTTACTGAGAAGTATATTGCATCTCTATGTTACTGAACATCAAAAATGAGACTGGTGGGGTACGTTGTGTGCAGGTACTTCAGCACTCATGCTCTGCAGGCACAGTGGCTGATGGGTTGCTCTGCTGTCACTAATGGTCTGAGAGGGCCTTGGTCAGTGTTTAATGAAAGGTTTGCTGAGTCCTACATGAAGTGCTTCCAACCTTGCCTTATTTAGCTGCACAATGGCCCATCAAGCACTATTACTATTTCCATTTTATAGAAGGGTGGGCTAAGGCTTGGAGATTTCAAGTAACCCACCTGACACCATCCAGCAAGTAGCAGATATGGGAATCAAATCCAGGTAGTTGACTCCAGATCCCATGATCTTAGCCCTCATCCTACACTCCCTCCCCTTCAGAGTAGATGCATGAGCCATGTAAGGGGAATGGGTGTTCACAATGAAAACTTGCTATGGCTGCCTGGCCTTCTAACAGGAATGCCAATTTTCCTGTAAGTGAATAGTAAAGCTCAATCTTACATTCCTGAGTTTATGGAGACTTGATGGGGAATGAAGGAAACAGAAGGCTGGACTTGTGATGTTCCTGCTGGTCCCTTTGAGGAAGCCAAGGAGATAGGTCTCGGTTTGTAGGAAGACATTAATGATCTTGAGGAAATAGAAAGATAGACCTGGAGCCAAGAAGGCAACAAAGAAAACTCCTAGCAGAAAAAGGGAAAGGGGGTGTCATGAGGGCTGATGGGTCCTGAGCAGCACCCTGGTGGAAGTAGAAATGGCCACCAAGGTGTTTGAGATACCAGGGCAGCCACAGGGCCCTTAAGAATATGAGATATGAGAGACTGTAATGCTCAATAGCAACAGCTGTGTCTGGGGTGCTATCTTCTCCATGGCTTCAAGTTCACTGCAGTCTGTTATGCAGACACAGGTGCCTGTGGCTGAGCGGAGGCATCTGGGCTGAGTTCCCAGTCTGGGTCTGTGTAGAACTGAGAGGGAACCTCAGCCTCAGAGGTGAGAAATGAATGGGAACAAGAGAGAGCCAGCACCATACAAAAGTTCTCCCAAGAACATAAGTCCTGCTGTTTTACAGATGATGGATGTGCAGGAGGGTGACAAATGACTCCAGGCTCTTTTAAGGAAGAGGGTGACTTGGCTGATGCCCAGGTTAATCTGGAGTTGTGCTATTTGTGAGAAAAGTTGCATGAGCCACAGATAAGTGTGTGATTGAGGAGACAGACTGTGTTACAGCAGGGAGGTAAAGGAGATGAGTGGTGGGAGGGAGGAGAAGGAGGGACTGTGAGCGGCTGTGTGTGTGCAGGAGGGAGGACACTGAGGAGATTGCAAGAGAATCATAAATGTGAGACCCCGAAGAAGGGAAAAGATGTGAGGCTCTTAGCTTTTTAAAAATATATATTTTATTGATTATGCCATTACAGTTGTTCTATTTCCCCCCTTCATTCCCCTCCACCCTGCACACCCCCACCCCCACCATCCCCCCTTTAGTTTATGACCACATGTATCAAGTTCTTTAGATTCTATATTTTCCATACTATTATTGCCCTCCCCCTATCTATTTTCTGCCTACCATCTATGCTACTTATTTTCTGTACCTTCTCCCCCCTTCTCCTTCTCCCACTCCCCTGCAGCTCTTAACTTTTTAAAAGTTACTAATCACCCTGAGAATGTCACAAAAAGGATGGACCTTTCGAGTAACAGATAACTATGTAGTGTACAAAATATTTTGCTAAAAGTGGGACTCAGGCTATCTGTGGACTCCAGGTCGAGTCCCCTCTTCTGTGGCTGGGGATCCACTGTCAACAAGTGGTGGAAATGTTTCTCTCCTGGAGCTTGGGCTGGAGGCCTGCACTGATCAACACTTGAGTGGAGTTCCCAATCCGTGGTTGTTTGTGTGAGTTAGGAAAGATGCTGCATCTGGGCTGATGATCCAGTAGAAGGTTTTTTGACCTCTGAGGTGGGCTAGTGAGGAAAGGTGCCCAGTCTGGGTCCACGAAGCCTTACAGAGCTGTCACTTGGAATTTTGAGCTGAACTGCATCCTCTCAAAATTCATCTTTTGAAGCCCTAACCCCAGAATGCAACTGAAGGGATGGTTCTAGATGCATGATAGTTGGACGTAAGATTTTGTTCACTTTACGATGGTGTGAAAGTGGTATGCCTTCAGTAGAAACTGTTCTTTAGATTTTGAATATTGATCTTTCCCTGGGCAAGCAGTATGCAGTGAGATACTCTCTTGTGATGAAGGACAGTGGCAGCCAGGTAGAGCTCCATGTCAGACACTTTATCAGAAGGGTGAACAACTCACACACTGCACAATGCAGTATTTAATGCATTTTTGACTTAGGATGTTTTTAATTTATGATGCATTTATTGGGACATAACCCCATCATAACTGAGGAGCACCTGTATTTGAAGGTCAGACCCTTAAAGAGTTGATGAAAATTAAATGAGGTCACATGGCCAGGATCTAATCTGACTCCTGTTTTTACAAGAAGACACACTTGAGCATAGCCACACAGACCATGTGAAGACACAGGGAGGAAGATGGCCCTTTACAAGCCAAGGAGAGAGGCATCAGAAGAAACCACCCTGCAGACACCTCAATCTAGGACTTCTAGCCTCCAGAACTGTGAGATAATAAATGTCTGCTGTGGAGCCTCCCAGTCTGTGGTATTGGTTCTGGCTGTGAAGCAGACTAATGTTCTTAGTGAACAAGACCTGAGCTGGGTTCACAGCCCACACGCTCTCTTGACTGGAAAAGTCCTGCAACAAAGTACACAGCTTGACAAGGTGGCCCTGAGTATGTTGGCAGTTTTGGGAACTCACTTGCAGGGTGACCCTCATTACTTACCGAAATACCGCCCCAGAAGGCACAGCCTATAACAAAGGAGACAGCTTCATAGCCCCAAAATATGGTGGTCCCCAGGATGCTGCCAAGGCCGAAGTGTAGCAGCCCAATCAGGATCTGGAGGGCCTGTCAGGGGAACCACAAACTGAGACCTTTGTTTCTGTGGTGGATTCTTTCCTGCCAACCACCCTCCCTGGCCTCCTTTGTATTTTAATGCATTTTTTGTTGGTCGAAAAAGTAATATGAAAAATGTAAAAATGAAATGAAAACTACCCATAATTTCTCCCCAGAAAGATAACAACTACTTACATTTTGGTGCATAACCTTCCATTAACTTTTCAGACACCTGCACTGATAATATAAAACAGCTCTGGAGCAGGTGGCACAGAGATACTGGGCAGGTCAGATTGTTTCTATGTTTTCATACTATACACAGCACTGTGATGAACATCTTTGTAGATAAGTCTTTCTTCTCATCCTATTTCTTCGGGATATTCTTTTGAATGGAATTGTATCTGCTTTTTCATCAAATTGATGTTTTGAAGTTCCATTCTCCAGGGCCTCAGCACAGGTCCTCATTTATTCATAGGATTGCTTAGGTGTAATTAGGTAACATGAGATGTATTCTAATAGGGTTGTCCCTTATCTTCTAGGACTGCTATTTTTCAAAAGAATGCCATGTGAAGAGACACACATGCACACAGGAGAATGCCAAGGATGGAGTTATGCTGCCTTAGCCCAAGATCACTGGAATCATTGAGACTGGCCAGGGCAGGTCCTCCCTTGAGCCTCTTTGGAAGCATGGCCCCATGGACACTGTGATTACAAGCTTCTGGCCTCCAGACTGTGATACAGTAAATGTATGTTATTCTAAGCCATCCCATTTGTAGTACTATGTTATGGCATCTCTAGGAAAGTACTATATTTTAATGCCCAAATGGTGTATATACACTCATATGTATATATGTATATGTGTATATACTACAAATGTGACAGTGAATACAAATATAGTATTTCTGTAAATTTGCACAGTTGGTGGTAAATTATATGCAATATCTGCCTCTAATTTTTTCGCATTAATGATATAGCTCGGAGGTAGGTCCATATTATTATGAAGGAGCGTTTTTTAAATAGCTACAAAATTCATTTAAATAGTATTATAGTGACTGATATTTTGGTTGTTTCCATTCTTTTCCTATCACAAACCATGGCTGCAATAAATAACCTAATGAATGCCATATTTCTCATCTGCATGGAAGTATGGTCCACAGGACAAAGTCTCAGAAGTGGAATTATTGGGTATTTTAAAATTTGGCAAATACAGTTAGTCCTCCATCCAGGTTGTATTTATCGACATTCCATGAGTGGTATATGGAAGTGTAGCTAGAATATGAATCTGGGCAGCCTGGATGAGAATCCTTGTGTGTCATTATTTAGCTGTGCAGTGAAACAGGCCTTCCCCTGTCCTACTCAGGATATCCCCTCAGGTTAGAAATCATTGTGAGCTCTTATTTTGCTGCCATCAGGCAAAGATTCCATTCAAGGACACTGGCTTTAGACTCCCCCTTTTGGTCACTTGCTGCTCCATTATCTTCCAGAGATCACATGATCAACATGGATTCAGAGCAACAGGAAAACCCTTTTAATTTTCCACTGCTTTGTTGCTTTTCTTTCTCTTCCCTAAAATGCCTAACCTAGAAAATATGAGGCATTATACTGAGGCCCTGGTGACGCTCCACTGCTGAGCTTCCTAATACACCTGAGTTTGGCAAGGCTGGGTCAGCTCCAGCTCCACTTGCTGGATTTTCCATTTGTGTATTTCCAACCGTTCTCTCTCCCCTGACTCCAGCAATGTGGTCCCCAGCCTGTGGTGTGACTTCTCACTTACCCCTAAGGTTTTGCCCTCTTTGAAGATTCTCTGGGCTGGTGGTGCACTCTCAGGTGTCTGCAAGGCAGGTTGGTTCCCAGGACTTAGGTTGACTTGGGGCTGGTTGTGTGGATACAGGGTCACTGAAGTCATTGAATTCATGCTGCTAAAAAAGAAATGCAATTGAACCATCCTTCACATGTGCCATGATGTTTACATTGACAAAGAACTTTGTCTTCATTAACTCAGTTGAGCACTGCAGTCTTTTAAAGGGAGACAACAAAGGGCCTGTAGACAGGACCCCTGAATGTCAACATGCCTTCAAAGAGTTAAAAGTCAAACTAAGGCGTACACCCTCCTTAGCGATGCCTAATTTAGAAAAACCATTTACCCTATAGTAGCAGAAAAATAGGAAATGGCACTTGGAGTTCTCACCCATAAATTAGAACTGACTGTAAGGCCAGTAACTTACTTCTCAGAACAATCAAATCCTCTAGCATCTGGCTGGTGGCTTTGTTGCCTTAATTAAAAAATAACAGTACATAATTTATAAAATAACATTTTAATATTCTGAAATCAAACACAGTATTCAGTAAATGGTCACATATCTTCGATGTTTATGTTTTGACCCACCTCTCTGGAGAAACATACATGTTATAAGAATCATTTTTGTTTCATAGAAAATTTGTCTCCAGTGTGCTGCGGGGCTGTAAGTTGTCTATTAAATCCCAGGGGGAGAAAGATGAGTGGAATAGATTCTGCAGTTTAACTATGAGGGGACAGAGTTAAACTACAGAAATTTTCTTCTACTGCATAGTTTTCTTCTACATTTTAGTAGAAGAAAAAAATTCATCAATGCCCTGGTTGGTATGGCTCAGTGTATTGAGTACCAGCCTGTGAACCAAAACATGTCTGGTTTGATTCCCATTCAGGATACACGCCTGGGTTGCAGGCCAGGTCCCCAGTGGGCAGCATGTGAGAGGCAATCACACATTGATGTTCTCTCCCTCTCTCTCTTTCCTTTCCCTTCTCTCTAAAAATAAGTAAATAAAATAAAAATATTAATCAAAAGCTAAGTAGATAAATTAAGAATTCCATCATAAGTCTTGGGATATAGGCTGTGCCTTTGTCTGTTTTCTAATTGCTTTATTCTTGACACTATTACAGATGTTCCCCATTTTGCCCCCCTTGTTTGCCCATCTCCCGCCCAACTGTGAGTCCCACACTACTTCCTTCACCACACAGCCCCTGCCACGCCCTTCCTTGGCCTTCACCACCCTGGTGCCTCTGTCTATGGGCTATGCATATGTGTTCTTTGGCTAATCTCCTTACTTTCTTTTATCCAGTCCCTCACTCCCTCCCCCTGAGATCGTTTACAAGCTTTAGCAGCCACTGTTCTTTTAGTGAGAGAGGCCAATAAGCTTACCCTGGGGCACCATCAGAGGTTCAACACCCCATCAAGTACACACTGTTCTAGAAATCAAAGCACTTCAGTAGCTCATGGTGGTGGGAAGGCTACATAGATATTGTAACAGGAATTAAAAACCTGATACAACTCTGATCAACCTGGCTTGTTACTGTAACCTGATTTTTCTCTCTCAAAACTAGAGCTTATGTGTTAAAGGTTTTTATTAAGTACACTTTACAGGAACCAGCAGTTTCAGTTCCTGTGTAAACCTCAGCAGCGGCCTGACTTCAGGACCCCAGGAATTCAGCTAATAAGAAACCAGATGGCCAATTCAAGGATGCTGACCACAAGGACCCACACTGAGGCTTACAAGAAGATGTCCTGCATGTTCACAGCCCCCTCCCCTGTTTTCTTTGCTCTGTTTTCCTTCCCAATAAAACCCCTGCCTGCACAGAGATGTACAGACAGGCTTTGGGGCAAGTCCCCCATCTTCTCAGGGGGCAGGCACTTGATTAAACTCTTTCCCTGGATGTCAGTGGTACCCTTAGGTGTCATGAAAATGAGAGGCGCACCTAAAGAAAAAATTGCAAGTAAGACCCTCTGAATCCACCTAATGGCATGTGTTTTCTCAGTTCTGATCTGCTAATAGATAACATCCAGTTGTTATCCTACATCATCAATGCAGGACAGGCACAAAAGGCATTACAAGAGTATGGAAACAAAATTCCGCCTGCCCTCAATAAACAGTCCCAACACAAACAGCTTAAACCGGGGGACACGGCCCATTGAAAAACCTGGAGGGACCACCATCCTGAGTCCCAGCAACAACCCAGGTGGAAGGGTCCACATCAAGGCCTGCTAGCACTCTGTCTTTAGCAAGCTCATAAAAACAGCCAGTTGGGTTCATTTATCTCAAATTAAACCTGTTTCTTGTGAGTCCACACAGGAACCACAATCTGAGACCCATTCTTGTGAACCCATCAGAGACCTCAAGGTCCTCTTCAGGAAACAAGACCTGGTACAAGTAAATAACATAATAGAAAGACCATAATATAATGGTCTTTCATATATTTTGACATTCTTTCTACTATCCTGTTAGTATGCCCAGCCTTTGCACCCAGGATAGAACATTTTCTGTAAACTGCACTCGAATTATTCGGATTTTAACTAAAAATGTTTATCCTTCCTGCTCTCATATCTGCACTGTACTAAAGACCCCTATGTATACTGTGGGGACTAATATACTGGTAAACTTTTCCAATATTATTGTTGCTGAAAATCAACTTCTTAATTGCTGGCTCTGCCATTAACAACCAATCCAAAGAGCACTCCTGCCTCAGGCTCAACCTACAACCTTCAACTTAAATCTAACTCTGTTGTTAGGGTTCCTCAGCAATTTTTAAAAAGCCAGTCCCTTTTAAATAAGCCTCCCTCCAGTTCCCTATGACTGTTCTTGTACCAACTACACCCTGGTCATTAATCAGACTAATAACCAGTTGATATTAAGGCTCTTATGCAACACCCTTACAGAACTCTGCTGTCATTGTGGTACATCTAACAAATGTGTCACTGAACTTGACTAGATAATTCTCTCCTGACTTTGATATATCGAATCACTGTTTTCTGACAATGACTTTTGTACCTTTTGTCTGACATACTAGTGTCCACTAGACTATAAGGCCAAATTAAATGTCTGGAAAACTAATTTTCAAAATGACCTCCAGAACACCTACAGTTATTGGTGAGAGAAAACTAATATTAAGTGGAAACTCATTTACCAAGTCCCCAGAGCACATAAAGCCCCACAGGACCAAGGGACAACATTCTGAAAGAAGAAACACTGTGGGGGCAACTTTGCCTGCAAAGTCCCCCTGTTCACCATGGATGAAATGAAACTACCAAGACATGATCTGCTTGGGGAGGACAGGTGGCCAATCTCTCAGAGGAGAAAAGCCAGGAGCCCCTTTCTCAATGGCTTTCATTGGGTTGTAATACACAGGAATACAGGTGGCAAGGATCAAACAGTAGATAACATTTCAAGGAAATCTGAGGGCTTAGTCTGAGTCAGTGTCTGTCAGGTAAGGGTATTGCAGAACCTTTGGGAGACATACTCATTTCCTGCTTGGACCCTTATCATATGAATAAAATCACTCTTAGCAAAACAGGCTCCACAGGACTTTGTGAATTCTTTCTTATGCCCGATCACCCCAGATCCTGCTCTAGCTGGCAAGGGGCTATACCACCTCCCTCATCATAGGTTTTAGGCTTAAGTGGATTACAGCCAGAGAGTGCTTCTCCCAGACAAAAATGGGGACTCGGGCTATGTCAGAATAGCAGGGGGGCGAGGGTCCCTCTTTGTTGCAGCCCCCCGAGTCCTTCCATGATGGCTTCCCAAGTGATTGTGTCTGGCTTAGGTTGCCCCTCCTCTGAGGGGTCTTACACATCATAAAATAACAGACCAAGCATTGGGGGTAGGGAATGAAGCAGAGCAGCATTTGCTACCAGAGACAAGCTTTGTCTCCTTAGTGGCTCCCATTCCAGAGGTCGTTCACTCAGCCTTAGCAATGGGGGGCAGTTACAACTCCTGAAACCAGGCAGAGCCGTTCCCAACAGAACACTTTCCATGACTGCATAGAAAACAACTGCTGGGGGACAGAAAGCCAATATTCAGAAATCAAAGGCATTTTTACACCAACAATGAAATATCAGAAACAGAAATCAGAAAAAATTTCCATTTGATTTAACAACAAGAAAAATAAAGTACTTAGGGATAAACCTAACCAAGGGGATAAAAGACCTGTAGTTAGAAAACCACACAACACTGAGGAAAGAAATTAAGGAAGACACAAACAAATGGAAGTACATACTGTGTTCTTGGATTAGAAGAATTAACATCACAATGGCCATACTACCCAAAGCAATCTATAGATTCAACTCAATTTCTATTAAAATACCAATGACATATTTCACAGATATAGATCAAACACTACAAAAATTTATTTGGAACTATAGATGACCCCAAATAACTGCAGCAATTTTGAAAAAGAAGAACAAAGTAGGAGTGATCACAATGCCTGACATCAAATATGTTACAAGGCCATCATAATCAAAAGAGTCTGGTGCAGGCATAAGAACAGACATACAGGTCAATGGAATAGAATAGAGAGCCCAGAAATAAACCTAAGCCTCTATGGTCAATTAATATTTGAAACAAGAGGAAGAAGCATACAAAGGAGTAGAAATAGACTGCTGAACAAATGGCATTGGGAGATCTGGACAGAAAAAAAAAAGAAACTCTACCACCTACTTACACTATACACAAAAATAAACTCAAGATGGATAAAAGGTTTAAATATAAGTCAAGATGCCATAAAAATTCTAGAGGAAAACATAGGCAGAAAAGTCTCAGATATTTCATGCAGCAATATTTTCACTGATATGTCCCCTAGAGCAACAGACATAAAGGAAAGAATAAACAAATGGGACTTCATCAAAATAAAAAGCTTCTGCACAGCTAAGGAAAACATCAGAAAAATGAAAATGGAACCAATTCTATGGGAAAATATATTTTTAATGATATCTTGGAGAAGGGTTTGATCTCCAAAATATATTAAGAACCCTCACAACTCCACTCCAGGAAGACAAACAAGCCATATAAGAAATGGTGAAAGAACCTGAACAGACATTCCTCCAAAGAGAACACACAAAGGACCCAGAGACATATGAAAGGATGCTCAGCATCACTAGCCATCAGAGAGATGCAAATTAAAAACACAATGAGATACCATTCCATACTGGTCAGAATGGCCATCATAAACAAATCAACGAACAACAAATGCTGGTGAGGTTGTGGAGAAAAGGGAACCCTAGTATACTCTTGGTGGGAATGCAGACTGGTGCAGCCACTGTGGAAAGCACTATGGAATTTCCTCAGAACACTAGAAATGGAACTGCCTTTTGACCTGGAAATTCCACTGCTGGGATTCTACCCTAAGAGTCCCAACAGACCAACTCAAAAAACCCTATGCACCCCAATGTTCATAGCAGCATTATTTATAATAGCTAAGTGCTGAAAGCAACCTAAGTTCCCATCAGTAAATGAATGGATCAAAATACTGTGGTACATTTACACAATGGAATACCATGCAGCAGAAAGAAAGAAGGAACTCCTACCTGTTGGGACAGCATGGATGGATGTGGAGAGCATTGTGCTAAGTGAAATAAGCCAGGTGTTGAAAGACAAATACCATATGATCTCACTTATAAGTGGAATGTAATCAACAAAACAAAGAAGCAAGCAAAATGTAACCAGAAATATTAAAATAAAGAACAAACTGAGTGTAATCAGAGGGGAGGGAAAGAGGTATAATGGAGGAAAATAGAGAAAGGACATTCAAGGAACATGTATAAAGGATACTTGCACAAAGCCAAAGAGGGTATGTTCGAGGGTGGGAGGTAGGGATGGGTGGGGCTGGAGGATGAGTTGGGGGGAAGTTGGAGAGAACTGTACTTGAACAACAATAAAAAAACATAAAAACATTTAACAGACAGTATAGTTAGCCAAAAAAAAAAAAAGTACTAGCCATGCCTTCCAAAACCTACAACAGTCTCTAGATTCTGTTGCTAATGTTGTACTAGATAACAGAGTAACCTTTGGTTACTCACTAGCATAGGAGGGGTGTGTGCAGTCATAAAGAAAACTTGCTACACTAAGTCTTCATGTCAAGTAGAAGAAACTATGTTGAAAAATCTATAACCAAGCCACATCAGCTCATAACTTTGGAAAGGGGAGACCCCTTTTGCAAGCTTAATCTGGGAGGCTATTACCTTTTTTTTTTTTTCACCTACCCTTGATTCCCTAGGTATAGATCTCCTCCTCAACTTTGGGTCATGCCTTTTTAACCTTCTTGTCAAAATTGTTATTTCTAAAATACCTCAGTTCCATGTGAAGGCAATGACTCTGTGGGGATTCCTGCATATCCCTACTTTAGAAGAATCAGCCAATGGCCTCTGTGTTCTGGACTCAGATCCCATTTCCTCATTTCCCTTACAGCAGGCAGGGAGAGGCATCTCTACCCTACATAGGCAGGGACAACAGCCCTTGTCAGCAGAAAGCCGTTACTGAAGACATGCCCTTCTCCCTCAACACCCTGCCAAGACTTCAGAAATGAAAGAGTCTGAGGAAGAAATAAGGCAGAATAGTAAGAAGTTAGAAAAATTTCTAATGCTGTGGATGGGAAAACTGAGAGAAGATAATTAAATAAGACAAAACAATTTGACCAATATACAGCTAGTGACTCACAAAACCTCATCTTTAACCAAGATCACTGGAGAACAAATAGTGTATACCTCTCCTCTCTGACCCATGAATAAATAGCTTAAATCAACCTGGTCAGGGATAAAGGACAGGAACCCTGATAATGGCATTTGTGCCAGCCAAACCCTGAGATGGATGAAGTCAGGACAACAAATAACAAAAAACTGATTACTGGCCAGGATGGAGGCATAGGTAGATACACTTTGCCTCCTCTCACAACCAAAAGAAAAACAACAACAAATTAAAAAACAAAAAATAACTAGAACTGCCAGAAAATGGAACTGTATGGAAGTCCAATGACCTTAGAGTTGAAGAAATGTCCATCCAGACAGGTTTGAGGTGCAGAGATGGGCAGTGGGGGTGGAAAGTACTAATGGCAAGGTGGTGGCTAAGGAACCAGGGTCAGAGACATGGCGGCTGGCAGAGCAGGCTGTCCCACCTTTGCATGCAAATAAACTGGAAGGAACAACTGGAGAGTGAGACAGACTATGCAACCCAGGGTCCAGCATGAAGAAATAAATCCTCAAAACCTCTGACTGAAAAGACCTGTAGATGATGCAGCAGCAGGAGAACCTTCCAGCCCCATAAGAGGGTTTCTTGGAGAGACCCACAGGGTCCTAGAATGTACACAAAACCACTCACCTTGGAATCAACACCAGAATAGCCCACTTTGCTTCTGGGTAGCAGAGGAAGTGACTGAAAGTAGAAATGACTGGAGGGTGACAGTGGAGCAAGTGGTGTTGTTTCCTTTGTAACGCCTCCCCCACATACAGACCCACAAAGCAGGGATGTGGATTGCCCCACCCTGGCAATTAGGCTTCACTTGTTTACTATGTAAAAGGTGCATCAAGATACAAAAAAATATGGCCCAAATGAAAGAACAGATCAAAGCTCCAGATAAAAACACAAGGAAGATATAAAGAGAAAGCCAATATATCAGATGCAGAATTTGAAACACTAGTAATCATTATGCTCACAGAAGTGGTTGAGTATGCTTGCAAAATAGAGAAGACAGTGAGGACTATGGAAAGTGAAATAAAGGAAAATGTACGGAGAACCAAGAGTGACAGGAAGGATATGGGAACTCATATCAATGGTTTGGACCAGAAGGAAGAAGGAAACACTCAACCAGAACAGAATGAAGAAAAAAGAATTTAGAAAAATGAAGAGAGGCTTAGGAACCTCTGGGACAACTTGAAAAGTTCCAACATCTGAATCATAGGGGTGCCAGGAGAAGAGGAAGAGCAAGAAATCAAAAACTTATTTAAAAACATAATGAAGGAGAACTTCCCTAATCTGGCAAAAGAAATAGACTTCCAGCAAGTCCAGGAAGCTCAGAGTCCCAAAGAAGTTGGACCCAAGGAGGCACACACCAAGGCACATCAGAATTACATTACCCAAGATTAAAGATAATGAGAGACTCTTTAAAACAGCAAGAGAAAGGGAGACAGTTATGTACAAAGGAGTGCCCATAAGACTATAAACTGATTTCTCCAAAGAAACCCTGCAGGCAAGAAGGGGCTGGAAAGAAGTTCTTGAAGTCATGAAAGGCAAGGACCTACATTCAAGATTACTCTGTCCAGCAAAGCTTTCATTTAGAATGGCTGGGCAGATAAAAGGCTTCCTAGATAAGGTCAAGTTAAAGGTGTTCATCATCACCAAACCCTTATTGTATCAAATGTTAAAGAGACTTATCTAAAAAAACGAAGACAAAAACTATGAACACTATAATGACAACAAACTCACAACTGTCAACAACTAAACCTAAAAAAAAAAAAAAGAAAGTGAACTAAGCAAAAAACTAAAACAGAAACAGATTCACAGAAATGGAGATCACATGGAAGGTTGTGGGCAAGGAGGAAGGGGGAGATTTGGGGAAAAGGTACAGGAAATAAGAAGCATGAGTAGAAGGCAGAAAATAGACAGGGGGAGGTTAAGAATAGTATGGGAAATGCAGAAGCCAAAGAACTTATATATATGGCCCCTGGACATGAATTAAGATGGGGGAATGCTGGTAGGAGGGAGGTACAGGGCAGAGGGGAACAAAGGGGAGAAAAAATGGGACAATTGTAAAGCATAATCAATAAAATGTGTTTTAAAAAGCCACCTGATTAGAGCCAGAGAGATCCAACATAAGTAAACCAGTAAAATAGATCAAAGAATAATCCCAAACTCCCCTATATGCTCATTTTCATGCATCAGAATGTTAAAAATATACTGCTGAAAACCTCCCCTAAGATTGTCACCTGCAGAAGAGAGATAAAAACCCTCAAGACAAAAAATACCAGTGGAAGTTCACTCTAGAGGATGCCCACGGTCCTTCTCTAGCATGGCCTTTCCACTTTCTTTCTCCTAAACTCTAAAGGTCCCCAGGAGACTTGAAACCAGGGCAGCACCAGGCAGCAGCAGCTCATCCTTGGCTTATCCCCTGAACCTGTCCCCAAGGTCCCCCTTTTGTCTGACTTTCCAATGAGCTAACAGCAGCCCTGCCTTGGCTCACTTCTGTCACTGTGACTTTCACCTCTCAGTGAGTTCACACAGCCCAGTGTGGCTCACTTCTTTTCTGTAACATTTCTAGGGAGTCAAAGCAGAGTCTCACCTAGGTTCTCTGTTGCTGCTTCTCCCACCCTAAATCCTTCATTTGTTTCACTGTCCTCAGGGTTAATAAATTTAATTTCAAAATCTACTTGACCTGTGATATGAAATCTTTCGTATACAAGGTCAAGAAAATACACACTATGGCTGGCCTGAGGCACACCCAGTCTGGGTCCAGTTCTCAACCCCTGACATTAATATAAGTCTCATTTTTCAGAAAAATCATACCAGCATCCCAGAGTTACCCAAAGAAATCATTAGATCAAATTTACTCACGTTGTTCAGCCTGCAGCTCAGTCTCCCTTGCTACTTTTCCCCAGTGCTTCGTTTGGGCAACTTGTTTTCCCTGAAGAATAAGCACACTGGGTTCAATGTACCAGGTACAGATGGGAGATAAGTTAAAAAAAAAAAAAAGAAAGAAAATCTTTCTCGCAATGACTGGTGTTTAGAAGCTTCCCAGGGCTGAGATTTCTTAACAACATTTCCTTCCTGTAATTGGCAAGAAGCTGATTATTGCAGCTCAATTGGGTAAGTTTTTACCCAATTGGTGTCTGTGTGGAGAAGAAAGAGTTGTACTGATGGGATTTCACAGAAATGTGCTTGGCACTCAGGGGTGTTGTGCATAGCTGTGTGTAAGACAGATAACAGACACCTCAAGTAGAGAAATAGGAGCTCATTCAGGAACACACACTTTATAGTCTTTCTTCTCTCATGTATTAGTGTCCTATTCTCTCACAGTATACAAATCCATAGGTCATTGTCTGTTTTAGGGGAAACCCAAAATAAGACACCCACTGCCTTGGTTTAAAAAAAAACCCTGCCAAACAATAAAAGAATAGGAGACTAATGACTGCAATAGATAAGAAGGTGATACATCTAATTTAACCTCTTCATCCACCAGATGATGCTCATGGGTCTTGTATGACATCCCAGCCAGTTCTGAGCACTTCCAGGATGGGGAACTGTTGTTACTCTGGGTTCTCTTGTCAGAGAAAGGTAGCATATGGAGTATTATCCCCTACTCACCCAGAAAAGACTGAGTGTTTCCATAAGATCTCTTTACACAGTCTCTTTACACAGGTCCCACTGCTCTGGGCATGTGGATGACTTATGAATACTCGTGTGCTTTCTGTATCTCCTGAGATCCTGGAGGAAAACGGAGGGCAGTCTTAATGTCTTTCATTGAAGAAAACTTAGTGAAGAACCTATTAAGAGAAATGTGGGAAGATCATGGTGACCAAAAGCACTGTTGACACACCTAGGAGCCCCTAATAGAGGGAAGCTGTTCCCCTCAGGTATAAGGGACAAGAGGTATGAACCCTGTTACTATAGCAGCCAGCATGAGCTTCATACAAAAATTCAAGCTGCCTGATAGGAGCTAAAATCTTAGGAGACCTCAGCTGGTGGCCCAACTGTGACCAGCAAAGGGAGCCTGAACTCACTTTTCTTTCCTCCTAACTTCCTTTTTCATTGTCTGAACCAACAGCAGGATTAGCACACAGGTGTGTGGGTAATGCCATCCACACAGGCTATAGAGTATGGGTTTGCTCCTAGTCTTAAGAACTTTGGGGCATTATTCTATCACCTGGGATCTCTCTATATCCAGCCCACATTTTAGAAGAAGGCCCTGTATTCAATGTCCCTCAAATTATCCTTTTGAATGTTCCATTTTAGCTTCCCCAGTTATCTGACTCCTCGTACAGCAGAAAATGGATCTGGGTTGGCAAGGGGAGACTTGTTTCTCTCTTTGGTCTCTATCCACCTGTCCCTCATGGAGGCAAACAGGATATCTGTGTCTATTTTTAAAGCTTCATTCAAATTAACTCAGGGCTCCCAATAAATACATGGCCACTTGTCCTACCCTGCAGAAGGCCTAGCTCATGGAAACCTCAGGGCAACTGTGACCATATTATTTCTTTTTATTGAATAGATACATTTTTCCACTTTCTTTTTGGATAAAAAGGAGTGCATTATAATCTCCACTTCACTTTATAATTAACTATTTTTTGTAAATAGAGCAAGTACTTTCCTTCTAAAAAAGTCCTTGTGAAAAGAGAGCTGGGTGTGGGGACCCATTAGGATACTAGGATGTTATTAGGGACTGTGATCTTTTTGATTCAAAGCCTTATATATCGGCAGGACCTGGAAGGAGTACAGAGGTAAATCTGTTCAAGTTCTTGATTCTGCAGATTTGGATGTCTTGCTTCTCCTGTCTTCCAGATAAGTGCAAAAGTTTCTAATTAAAAAATATTAAAAATTTATAATTTTTAGTTCTAAGATTAAGATGGATGTATGTGGGATGGAGAAGGCAACCTTTTCTTCAGAAGGTGTCCTTTGAATTGGATGGATAGTCCATCCCTGCAGAGCATGAAAGGATAAAGGTTGTAAAGTCTCTCAGAGCAGTGCAGCTCCAGTTGGATGGGTTTCAAGACACTATTTAGCTCCTGTAAGCAAATATAAGGAAAGAACTTCAGGAACATCTATGGAGAAAAAAACAAAAAACAATTCTTTTAAAGAGTCTCCATGCTGGGATAAAATTAAAACATAGGCTCTGCAGTCACTATTTGCAAAGACAGTCACATAGTGAATGACCCTCTGTTAATGACCCTTTGTGATTTGTACAAATTTGGTAAATAGGTTAAAAAGTTGGTTGTCAGAATCTTGTAATAATTTTGTACTGGGAATACTTTCCTAGTGTAAATCTAAAAAATAAACATGCAGTTTAAAAGTAAACATTTCACTTGGAAAATGTAAAATTAAATAATGTGTAAATTATGTATGGAATAAAAGTTTAAATGGGGCTCATAATTAAAAAATAAACCTTTTTATCATCTAACAATTTTTTAATAAGAAAAAGGATATTTTGACATTGCAATGGCCCCAGGTTCTCTGCTTAGTTATAGTGTAAAGAACGACAGCTTGCAAATTGACAACATGGTACCAATTAGGGGTCGAAAAGATGAATTTTTTTAAAGGCAAACATATAGAAATCACTGCAACATATTTATGTGTTACTGAATGCAGTTTTATTACATGAAACTAGGTTTCAAATATTGGGTTATATTACTAATTAAATTTCTTAAACTCTTAAACACAAGAAGTGATTTTTCTCTCACCTTGTTAGTTCTCCAAGATATTCTTAATTTAAAATGCTTCCCTTTTTCTTTGTGTTTATACACAAGCGGCTCCTACTGATTCAGAGAATCCAGATGCTCCTGAGGCTTCTAACAGCTCAGTCTCTATTTCTTGAATACTTGTGAAAAATTTATTTTGCAGTTATAGTTGGCACATATTATTATATTAGTTTAGGGTGTACAACACCATGATTAGGCATTTATTTACCATATGAAATAACCAGCATGATAAGTCAAGTACCCACTTGGCACCATACATAGTTATTATAATATCATTGACTTCCTCCTCTGTGTTGTTCTTACATCCTGGGGACTACTTATCACTGGCCATCTGTTTTTCTTACTCCCTTATTGAATTCTTCATAATCTAACACTTCTGCAATGAGGCACCCATATCTGGGAAACGATGTTTACATTATGGATAGGGGAATGACTGCATAACTAATGTAAAAAACAATTCTTCTTTGAAGTCAAAGTCTGCCCATCAGTTCTTAGATAAGGCATGTGTGGAAGATCAAGAACTGTACATGCAACTTTAAAAAAGCAACCCTAAATAGTTCAAAAGAATGGCATGTAATTTGAAAGTAGAGTCTATTACCCATTGTGTGATTTTACATTAAAATTTTCAGTGATATATTTGGAAGAAAACCCAGAAATTATTTGGTCTGGGCCTCTCACTTTGCACATGAAGTAACTGCCATGCAGAGAAGGGCAGGGATTTTCTTGACACCTCCAGCTAGTTACTGGCAGAACCAGCTCTGTCCTATTGTCTTCCAGCCCAGAGTAATGCCTTCACTGTCACACAAAGGGCAAAAATACACATATGAGTATACATATAATATATATAATGTTTATTTCATTGTATAAAATTTCATGCCTATATATATTAGAAGACATAATAGATGCCTGTACATTTTTATAGTATTAGCTTGGATTTAAAAGAAGAAAATCAGGTGACATCTGTGCCAAAAAAGGGGAAGAAAATAAGAAATGAGAGACCCAAGGTGGGGGTGGTGTAGGTAGAAGCCACGCTCACCTTTTCTCAGCATCAAAGTGGAGTTACAACTAAGTTATAGAATAACTCACCCTGAATAACCAACTGAAGATCAGCTGAAGAGACCTCTTTAACCACAGATTTAGATTAGAAGCCACATCAAGCCTGGCAGGAAGGGTGAAGAGGTAAAAAAGGCTGGCCCTGCTTTCATGGTTGGTGGCTGTGGAACTGAAGGGATATCTCAGTTGTGGGGGATTTCCCTGAAAAAGATGCTGCCTAATCCCCCAAACTGGTCTTTAAAGTCCAGAGCATCAGAGCTAAGAAGAGCTGCCCATGTGATATGTGGCTGTGAAAAGCAGCAGGGTCTCTGTCCACCAGGGAGAAACTGGAGACCACTAGAGACACAGGCACTCTCTTAATAGGCCAACACACACAATTTTGTTCTCAGACACTCAAGTGGAGGGGAAGGCTGAGCAGACCAATGTTGCATAAGAAAAATCTGCGGTTTGTGACTATGGAGAGAAAGCTGAAGGGACACTTGCCAGAAACCCTGTGCTGATTCATTCTGTCAGACCACAGAGACCATCTTTCTTGGGTGGAGCACACCCATGTGTGTGACTACAGTCTGGAGAATAGCAAGACTTACCCTCTGGACTTCCTTACACCCACACTGCAGACCTGTCCCTGCTGACAAGTATAGCCAAAGGTTATTTCAGTGAGAGAGCCTGTCAACCAGGAGGCGGAGGCATGCAGAGGTTGATCCTGATGTGCCTTGGGATTTCCGCTGACCAGCCCTGAGCCTGGTGCTGGTAAACCCCAGCTTTGGTGCACAGATTGATCCACCCATATGCTACCAGGTCTAGCAGTGGAAGCCAGAAACTGTGGATGACTTGTAGCTCCAAACAGGTTGCCCAGGGCCAGTCAAAGGCAGCCTCTGATGTTGGCCTACAGCAGAGCCTCTTCCTAGAGGCCTAGAACAAACATCCCCAGTGGACAGCTTCAGACAACATCAGAGCAGAATCCAATAAGCTTCATAAACAGTATATCCAATGGGAGAACTTGGTAGGCACCAAACACCACTGAGGCAAATTCCACTTCATGTGGTGTGCACATGTACATCATCTTACATGCTGTGGTCAGGGCTGATCCTCACAGTGAGCCAGCCTGAGTTTTGATACCATGCATGAACATGCCAATAGTGATCAAAACTCAATTACAACAAGATACATAATCTTAAAAAAGAACATTCCTGGAGCACCCAGGTTAGGTGAACAAGAAGAC